TTCCTTTGCTCCCTATCTTGATGTACTAGTATGAAGGGTAGGAATCTTGCATAATCATCAATGTTGTTCCCGATGTCGCTCATCCTTTGATTGAGTTGTTGTGGTTGTTGCATCTTGCATGCTCAAAGCTTACTGAGTGATTAGACGATCGAATGTCTGTTGCCCCGCGAACGCCGCGCGAGGACAAGTGTAAACACGACCTGATCGACGCGTTTACACGTGCCTCCGTGCGCCGAATCGCCCATTCCAAAAGGGATCATTGATTGTGGGAACACTGCTTGAGTGAATACGGCCATCCGGGGCCTGCGACGAAGCAATCATCCCGAGCAAACACGAGTAAGCGCGATTTGATCCGCGCGGCTCGCACGTGTTCGCGCGCGGTGATCGCAATCAACATGAATCTCGCCGCTCTAACAATGACACGATGACACGCTCTGAGAGCTCAGAGTCGTTGTTGTACGATCCGGACTACTTCACCCCTTGGATAGCGGAATGCCTCCTACAGAGATTCCCTTGCCTAACGGATAATCGACTGTGTCCTAGGGAGTTTCACTGCGCCACAACTAGCGACCCCCGGTGCTCTGATTTCCCCAATCAGGATCACACCCACTACTTCACCCACCCCGGATTTGTCGTGATCTCTACTAGCTTCCCTCCTTTCCGTTTTCTTCTTCCGTATCATCGGCTCAGCGTCGTCCCGTGGCCGACCATAGCCCCATAATGGCCTAGCACGCCCTGCGGAAATTGCAGACGACGCGGCGAACAGAGAGCCCCAGAAGCCCGAAGGCCTAACCAGAACGTGCGGCAACCTGCGCCACGTGGCCACTTCCGACCGACAGACTCATCTGAACCTCACCCACCCCGGAGGGACCTTTCGACGAACCACTGCCCTCAGAACCGATGGATCGCACGACCTTGAATAATCTGCGCATGCCATCCGCCCTATGACCAGTAGTGGTCTGCCCTCTTTACCCAAATTGCACTCGTGCCCCCGAAAAACTCTGCCACAGGAGATCTTAGTTCTGACCTGGGACTCCACCCCCACTTTCCCAAAAATCCTTGGCACACCCCTTTTTCGCACTTCCAGGCCCACACTCTACTTCGATCAGGAAGTCGCGCTGGGCGTGAGGTTGGTATCGGAGCCCGACACGTGGCCGGGGTTTAGGACTAACAACACGATAATTGAGCAATCTGGCTAACCGAGGGCGACCTCAACCTCGAAACGCGCATAGACGCGATCCCGTCGTTACTAGAAGCAGATCGGCTAATCGACGGGCCGTCACCATGAATGCTAATCAACAGAACCCCGTACAATCCCGAATCCGCAGCAAAATGTTAATCCTAATCAACCCACCTCACGAGCACGGGTTCCCATGACGCCACCTGATCTTTACCTATTCGACCCTGCACACCATCTTGCAGGAGCATGGCTGGCCACACTCCGAGCACAACAGTATGACGATAACGAAGCTCAGGTAAACATTCCTGTTCGATTAGGAGGAGACGCTCATCACTGGTTTAGTACCTATGTATGGGTAGATCTTCCGACCTTCGAACGGGACTTTCTGAACCGATTTGATTATGTCCATCCAGAGCAAGCACTTTACATGATCAAAGACCGGGTGCAAAAACGTCTCGAGTCTATTGCAGAGTATCGAAACCGGTTCTATCGAATGTTTGTGAAAACTGAGCGAGGCGAGCAAGTCGGGAGAGATTTGTTTATTGACGGACATCGCAGCCGAACGATAAGGGCGAAGCTGCGAAAGCTGTTTTCTCCCATCAATCACACACTGCAATAGATAATATCCGCTGCAGAGGAGATGGAAAGGAAGTTCGCAACGAGTTTCCTGGAAGGAGAAGACTATTCTAGGGAAGGGGATTCATCCGAACTTGCAAGGACAAGAGCTGAGTTGGCCGCCTTGCAGAACAAGTTCGAGAATATGGGATTTGTGTCTGGCCCGGTCACCTATCTGGAACAGATAGGCCCTAAACGACCAACCCCAAGTGAAATCCCGAGTGTCCCTGTGCTTGTGATGCCAACAACTGTAAGAACGGCACCACCGCCACCGGTTGAGAACC